AGATCCACTGGCAGATTAAACAAACCTCCCTCCATCATTTGGAAGCATCATTTAAGAAGAAAACAGCAATTATATACACACACACATATATTAACATAGAAAGTTCTTGGGCCATTAAGAGTCAGTGTGGTGTAGCGGTTTGAGCAACTCTGGAGATCAGGATCCAATTCCTGCCTTGGCCATAGAAACCCACTGGGTGATCCTGGGCAAGTCACACACTCTCATCTCATGGAGACACCAACCTTATCCTCCAAAATAACTTCAGGACCCTGAACAGCTCCTTTAACCTTTAGACTTGGAGCAGATCCACAGTCCCAGCTAGACACAAAAGTGCACCATTGGTGTCACATCCTAGAATCATAGAAGAGACCCAAGGGCCATCCAATCCAACCCCCTTCTGACATGCAGGAGCTCACAATCAAAGCACCCCAACAGATGGCCATCCAGTCTCTGCTTAAAAACCTCCAAAAGAGGAGACTCCATCACCCTCCAAGGCAGCAGCGTCTTCCACTGTCAAACAGCTCTGATCATCTGGAAGTTTCTCCTAATGTTGAACTGGAATCTCTTTTCCTGTAGCTTCCATCCATTGCCCTGGATCCTATTCTTTGGAGCAGCAGCAAACAAGCTTGCTTCATCCTCACTATGACATCCCTTCAAATATTTAAACAGGAATTATACCACCACTTAACCTTCTCTTCTCCAGGCTAAACATGCCCAGTTCCCTAATCCATTCCTCATAGGGCTTGGTGGTTTCCAGGCCCTTCACCATTTTAGTTGTCCTCCTCCGGACATGCTCCCGCTTGTCCACATCCTTCTTGAACTGTGGTGCCCAGAACTGGACCCAAGATTATTCCAGGAGAGGCCTGACCAAAGCAGAATAGAGTGGCACTCTTACTTTCCTCAGTCCAGACACTACACTCCTATTGCTGCAGCCTAGAATCACATTGGCCTTTTTAGCTGCCGCAACATATTGCTGACTCAGGTTCAACCTGTGGTCCACAGGCTAGACAAGGATCTTGCAGGGGACCTTGTTCAAGCCTCCTCTCTGCTGGCTTTCTAATGAGAAGATCCCATTCAATAGGAGTTCAACTGGCTAGACATTGAAGAATGACATTCCTAAACTCCAGCAGCATTGTGCTTAAATGAATGCTTCCCATAGTTGCCAATGGGGGAAAAAATCTACCAATTTGGGGGCCTTTTTCTTTCTCGCTTGCCTGCCTGTCTTCTATGTCCTGCTCAGAACACGCATGTTTATTACAGCCACCTCACTTCCCATAACATACGACAATGTTTTGAGCCTCCGCTTACACAGAGGGCACCCAGAACATTAATTTCAGCAATTACGTGATTAATATTTAACTGTTGGGTAATATTTGTGCTATTTATAATTTATCGGTTGATACTCATGAAAAATGAATGGCGTAGACAGTGCCTATGCCCCGTGTCAAATTGTTTTGTAATTGTGCGTTTATGGAAAATAAGCCCTGAAAGGTGTCCTTTCGGATTTTTGTTTTGTTTTGTTTTAAATTTGTCTGCGTGCCTCAAGCGCACGGCTCTGGCGCTGCTCCACTGCTCCACTTTTCTCTTCAACGACGACGACGGCGACAATGCTGCCTTTTCCATGCCGCCTCCGCCGCCACTTTGCTTTCTTTCCCTCCTCCAAAAACACACACAACAAACACACAGCCTGGCTGTTTTATCCCAGACACAACAAGCCGGGCCAAGTGAAGTTGACAAGAGAGATCTCTCAGGCCTTTTCCTCACTTGATACGGAGACTGTCAATTGCGCTTTGCTCTTTGGCTCAGATGCTCAGCTCTAGCAAAGAGAGGTGGGAAGATGCAACACTGCCAACAAGATCTCCTCCGTGGAAAGGAGTACAAAGTGAAGCCAAACAAATGCCAACATTTTCTGTTTTATTCCTGCACTGCTGCCTATTGCTTGCAAGTCTATACTAGGATGATCCAGACGCATACACTCACACATACGTAAAAACCAGGTTGAGCAAACCTTCACTACCTCAATTAAAGCAGTGGGTTGGAGAGATCTAGGGCAATGGGACAATGGGGTACAAAACACACTGCAGAAATAATCCAGTTTGAGAGCGCTTTAACTGCCCTGGCTCCATGCTAGGGAATGCTGGGAATTGTAGTTCTGTTCTGGCACCAGAGTTCTCTTAACAGAGAAGGTTAAATGACTATCTCACAAAACTACAGTTCACAGAATTGTCTAGCATTGAGCCAGGGCGGTTAAAGCAGTCTCAAACTGGATTAGTTC